GTGCGCCCCGGGACGGGCTGGTGGCCACCGGCCAGGCGGAGCGGCGACCCCCGGCAGCCCCGCACTCACGCCGGGATTTGGCCCTTCGGATATCTGCTTGGAGCGGCGCGGGGTCCGCTCGAGGGGTGAAAACCCCGTCGTTGTGCCCAGCAGGAGGAGACGGGGTGGGGGATTTGGTTTAGGGGAAGAGGGGGAGTTAGGTGCGTACCAGAATAGCCCGCTTCCAAAGCCCACCCTGGGAGCCGGACCGCAGGGATGGGATATAAGGAGCAGTGGTTTTGCCCAATCTTCCCTCGGGTCGAATCTGGGAAAGGAGTTTTTACCCCGACTCTCGATTTGAATGCCTCGCAACTGGTAAAAACTTCAAATTTAAGAGACGGAGTTTGGGACTGTGGTGCCCCCAGGCAGCGGCGGGGAGCGACCACTTCGGCTCGGCTATTTGGACAAATTCGAGTTGGTTAGTAGGAAACGGAGGAAATGGGAAAATATGCGGTATTCTGCCTCCTGCTCACATAGTTACTGAACACTGCGGGGGGGAGGGAAGGGTCTAAATGCACGACAAAAAAAAAAAAAAGAGAAACCACCTATAAAAGCAAACACCTTCACCCTGCGAATCCTTATATCCTTGCTCTGACTCACCTCTCCGTATTTGGGGGGGGGGGGGAGAATAAATACGGATTTTACATACACCGTGCCACGTTGTGCAGAAATAATTTCAAGGGGGTGTTTGGATTTTTGCAGCAGCTTTCGAGGCGAGGCTGGGCAAGCCTGTTTCAGACTCATAGCTTCGTCACTGATTTTTCATTTTTTGCTCCCTCCATTCCCTCCGCTACCTGCCTTAATTCCTCATTGAGTTACTCTTCTACGTTTTGCTTAGCAGCTTTGCGCTGTAAGGCGCAAGAAACCTTGTAAACGTCAGGCAGCTTCAGAGCCAGGGCTGCGATGACACGGCGGGCGTTGAGCTGAGGAAGAAACGGCCTTTGGGCCCGCACCCACCGAAAGACATTTCTCTCCTCCCTTCGTTTGCAAATTATTAGGCGTTAAACGGGAACGGCCACACGGCAGAGTCCAGAGAGCACAGTTCAACTTACGTTGTCAGCTCGTAGCTCTTAGCACATCGCTAAGATTTATTAATCTTTGCACCAAAAGCGCCACTGAAGACTGTAATCAGGAAAATGCTTAAAGCTTCAAGGACGCTGGAAGTTAAACAGTTATTTGTCTCAGCTATTTACTTTATAACATTACCTTCGTGCCTGCAGAAAGAAATTCTGCCGTGACAGTATTTCTCGGGCATTTTAAATTATTTTTCCCCTTAGTGCGTGAGAAATATATTTATCTCCGAGGAAAGCGAAATAAAGTTTTAATTTTAGATATCGCTTTAGTGACTCTACGAGTAACGTTAAGAAAGCTGTATCAAACTGCCTAATATTTTGCTGCGAAAATACACTGCGGCAACAATTTGCAGTTCCTGACCGCTGACGCGATTATTTGAAACGGGAACACGCGTGGCTTCGGTTTTACTGCCGCATTTTGGAGCGGGAAACTCGCGTGGACCAGGAGCTCCGGGTTGCATCGCCCCACGTTACCGGCTCCCCCGGCACCCATCCTTTCCTCTCACCGAAAGACTAACCCATGCCTGCCCCTCCGGTTCCCGGCGCTGGGCGCCGGAGGCACCGACCAGGGAAACGCGAGGAAGGAGCCCCAACGCCGCGGCTGCCCGCGCTGCCCGCGCCTCCCTGCCTGCGCCTTCCCAGCCGGGCCGGGGCTCAGCGGGAGCGGCTCCAGAGACCCAAGGGCGGGCGAGAGACCCCGGGGAGCAGGGGAAGCCGCCGTGCCCTCCTCTGCCCGGCTTGGTACTCCTGCCCCAGCCTCCTCCAGCGCCCTGCTCCTTCCCTCCTCTGCCCCTTCTCCCCCACCCCTCTCCTCTCCCTTCCCTGAGATTCTCCAACCCCACCTCTCTTCCGAAACAAACAACAACAAAAAAAAAACTCTCACGATTTTTTTCCCCTCCATCACCTAGTTTTACACTATAATTTTTGGAAACTGAGTTTACAACTTCAACTTTCCTGTCACCCTGAGACGCAGCTTCTCGGCTTTGCTCTGCCCTTCTCCTACCGCCACTACAACTGTCTTCTTCCCTCTGTCATGTTAGTAAGTGCCAAGTGGGAGGCTTAAAATGCCTAAATCTACCGGGCACCATTGAGAGACAGGAGCATCGTGTACACCCCTACAGAAAGATGAAAAGCCGTCGAGTAATTTTCTGCAACACTGCACTGAAAGAGAAAATCACAGTGTATATAAAATATACCTACGCGGTGGGTAGTTTATGATTAAAGCAAATGCTGATCAAATGCGTGTGCGCGCGTGTGTATACATATACATATATACATAAATATACATAAATATATATACATATATATAAACACATAGCCCCACACATACATCTGTATTTATATATACATACATGTATTCTAAAGCTGAAGAGACTGCAATAATCGTTAATCTTTCTGCCTCTGAGTAAATCATCGCAGCTCAGCCTCCACTTCTACTATAATTAATTTAGAGAGCGAGAATATCACAAAAAAAAAAAAAAAAAAAAAAAAAAAAAAAGACGGGACACCTCGGAAGAGAAAGTAAAATCCCATCAGGAGGTGCAGTATTTTAACAACAGTTTATAAACGGGTTTTCTCGTTCCTAGCAGAGGTTTTGCTTAGCTGCTTTTCTCGTTTAACGAAGCAGCGAAGTGGTTTGTAGTCGAAGTAATCCAAACTGGGTTAAGCGAGCCCCTGCAATTCTCCTCTGTGCTACAAGAAAGCTTGATTCGCAGTGAATTTGTCACCATTTCGTGGCCAGATTATCGCATTTGGGGGAAGCAGATATGTACGGAGTCGGGAAACTTAAAAGCGAGGCTTACACCGGGCGATTCGTTTTGGCAACGGCGCGTTTGCAGCCCCGTGTGCCATCCTCCAAACAACGCCGTTTTTTGGGGGGGGGTGTCCCCCCCCTCCCCGCAGCCCAACGCAAACCACGAGAGCCACCTCCACTCCAGCAAAGCCACT